CCGCTTTTGCAACGTGTTTGGCGCGATGAGCAGAACTCGTGCTCGATTTTCTTATCGTGGCGAGGGAAACTTGTATGCGACATTCACGACACAACCCTTTTGTAACGTGATTGGCACAAAGAGTGAAATTTGTGCACTTTTTTCTTAGTGTGGTGACGAAAATTCGTTTGCCACACTCATAATGCAACAAGAAAATACTTCTTCTGTGAAGTTTTGTTTGCATGTATCTCATTTATGTCTTTTCTTGGTGTGATGGGTTTTAAATATTTAGGTTGAAGTCACATGACACCGACCCTTGACGTCTTTCTTGGTGTAGTGGAATGTGCAGACTTAGACTTCCGATGCAGCCTCCCAATGAGGGACGACGTTGGGAGGCTGCCAAAACTTTTGTCAAATTTTAGGGCAAACTTAAAATACATAACATGATTTCAACTGAGCTTAAATTGGAATTAAAAGTGGTCTTGATGAAACTTAAAGAAAAATTTGAATAAGTGTAAAAAAGTCTTAAAAAGAAAGATGAAAATGCAAAATTATAAGAAAGTAAAAGATTTAGGGTCTGTTTGGGGTAACTGCAGTTTATTGAATAATTTGCTGATAAGATGATTAAAAAAACCTGTTGATAAGCTGGGTGCGGTGACTATTACAAATTTTTATTTTTTTGGAAAAGTCAGACTTCTGCTAGAAAGCTGCCACCGCACCTAGATATGTGTGGTGTGAAAATGCTGTTTTCAGCATTTTGAAAACACATAAGCTGTCGAAACGCAGTTTACCTAAACAGATCAGTTGCATTTTCAAAACACCACCGCATCAAATAAGATGCCTCAAACGGACCCTTAAAGACTAAACTTGAAAAACTCAAAGACTCCAAATTGTACAAAGAAAGTGAAGTCTTCCCACCCCCAAGAGCTTCAATGTGGTAAGTGAATTAAGCTTTATGTTTCTATTTATAGAAGGAGAAGGAAGCTATGTGGTATTTGATTTGATTTAAAAAGTCACATGCAAACAAATCATACTACCCATATTAAAATGCA